GGGGGGTGGGGGGGGGGGGGGGGGGGGGAGAAGAGAGAGACAGTGAGTAGATGGTTCAGATAGTTACAAGAGGCTGATCAAACAATAGAGGTGCTAATTGTTCTGTTGGTTAAGTCATTAGGATGTGGAAGGTAGTGTGCCAGCCAGCTGATGTCTCTATTCATACCATTTGCATAAGAATTAAACTTGTAAATGAAGTTAAGTTCCAGTCCTTCCCTGTGGAATTGGGCCTGAAACGACTTGGTGTTCCATTAATGAGTGTCCGGGCAGATTAAAGTGTTCTCCAACAGGTTTTTGTGTATTGCCATTTTGGATATCTGATTTGTGTCCATTAATTTTTTTCCTGTAGAGACTGTCCAGTTTGGCCAGTATACATGGCAGTGGGGCATTGTTGGCATTTGATGGCATATATCACATTAGTGGATGTGCAGTTAAATAAGCCTCTGATTTGGTGGCTGATGTGGCTGGGTCCAGTGATGAAATTGCTAGTGTAGATGTGTGGGCAGAGTTGGCACTGGGGTTGATTGCAGGGGTGGGTTCCTGGATGATTATGATTGAGGTGTGTTGCATTGTTTACTGTGATACCCGGGAGTTCTTTCAACCCAAACCTCTCTAACTTTTACTCTCTGCGAGGTGGTGTCCGGAAATAATTCAGGGGAAACACGGTCGACTGACCAATAGATGGCTAGTACAAACAGGACAACATGAGTGCTTTCACTTAAAGCTAAACTTTATTTAGTCTCCAGCACCTGTCTGCAACAGGTTAGTAAAACACCCCCACCCTCAATAGTTACTGAAGTTGAGTGTGGCTCTCGAGTGGCACCGGGCAGGCTTCCAATGGCCAGTCTGCTGTCTGCCGGTGGGGACGAAGATGTGTCCAGATGTGAAGAGTCCTCAAGGAGTCTTCGAGGCATCTCTCCCAATTGTTCCCAAAATTGCCCCCCCAACTCAAACTTTCCTTCCCTATGTATCCATTAGTATTACAATAACACATCACTCAAACTTGTTAGGCAAGCACTCTTTAAATGTTGGGCAAGAGGTTTTCTTCTGATCATCACTTTCGCCAGATGCTTTTTTCTTTTTCAGGGACTCCATGCCCGGGGGCCCTGATAGATATGTCTTAAGGCATTTAGACAAACTTCCTGTTTTTTTAATGTATAACTTGGTGATTTCACTAGAGATTTGGGCCTCAGGAAGGACACTGAGTCAAGCTGCCTTCTCTGTGGCACCCAAACTCCCCCTTCCCTCCCTTACTGTGGTCATGCAGAAGTCGCAGTCTAGGTATAATTCTGCCTGTTAGCTTGGTTGCTAAAGTTTTAAGCAGTAAGCAATAAATATTTTAGGCACATTATTGGATTTGCCAAAATCTTCCTGTACAACTGGAAATAATTTTTGAGGTTAGGAGGTTGTCTGTAGGTGAGGATTGGCTTTCCCCCAAGGCCTCTGAGAGTGAGGGGTTGTTTTCCGGGATAGGTTGTAGATTGTTGATACTTGGCAATTAATGAGTTGACTCGGTAAGTTGAATCTCGTGCGACCCGCTTCTGCATAAGCTGCTTTAAATAGATTCAGAGGCATCTCTAAAGATGGTTTGATCTGGTGGATGGGGCACCAGACTTGAACTCATGTCTTTTTTGGGTCCTGCTCCTGGGCCTGCCATTGACCTGCTATGTGACATTGGGCAAGTCATATCACACCTCATGCCTCGGTTTCCTCTCATGCTTTGTGTTTTCTGTCTAGATTGTAAACTTTGGGCTGGGATCTGTCTTATGTTGTGTAGAGTGTCATGCGCAGTGGAGCCCTAATCTTTAGA